TGGGCCACTGGGGCCCCGGCTTCCTCTGACCCTCACTTTGGCCGGGTTGCTCCAGCAGAGGATGCAGCAGGGCTCCCTGACGTGTCAGGCGAGGTGCGGGTGGGCTGGCGTGTCTGCCTGTCGTCTGTCTGCCTGTCTGTCTATCTGCCTGTCTGTCTGCCTGTCTGCCTGTCTGTCGTCTGCCTGTCTGTCTGTCTGTCGTCTGTCTGTCGTCTGCCTGTCTGTCATCTGCCTGTCTGCCTGTCTGTCTGCCTGCCTGTCTGTCTGTCTGTCGTCTGCCTGTCTGTCTGTCGTCTGTCTGTCTGCCTGTCTGCCTGCCTATCTGCCTGTCTGTCATCTGTCTATCTGTCTGTCATCTGTCTGTCTGTCGTCTGCCTGCCTGCCTGTCTGTCGTCTGTCTGTCTGCCTGTCATCTGTCTGTCTGTCTGTCGTCTGTCTGTCTGTCTGTCGTCTGTCAGTCTGCCTATCTGCCTGTCTGTCATCTGTCTGTCTGTCTGTCGTCTGTCTGTCTGCATGTCTGTCTGTCGGTCTGCCTGTCTGTCATCTGTCTGTCTGTCTGTCGTCTGTTGGTCTGCCTGTCTGTCATCTGTCTGTCTGTCTGTCATCTGTCTGTCTGCATGTCTGTCTATCTGTCGTCTGTCGGTCTGCATGTCTGTCTGTCATCTGTCTGTCGTCTGTCTGCATGTCTGTCTGTCTGTTGTCTGTCTGCCTGTCTGTCATCTGTCTGTCTGTCTGCATGTCTGTCTGTCTGTCATCTGTCTGCCTGTCTGTCATCTGTCTGTCTGTCTGTCGTCTGTCGGTCTGCATGTCTGTCTATCTGTTGTCTGCCTGTCTGCATGTCTGTCTATCTGTCGTCTGTCGGTCTGCATGTCTGTCATCTGTCTGTCGTCTGTCTGCATGTCTGTCTGTCGTCTGTCTGCCTGTCTGTCATCTGTCTGTCTGTCTGCATGTCTGCCTGTCTGTCATCTGTCTGTCTGTCTGTCGTCTGTCGGTCTGCATGTCTATCTGTTGTCTGCCTGTCTGTCATCTGTCTGTCTGTCGTCTGTCTGCATGTCTGTCTGTCTGTTGTCTGTTGGTCTGCCTGTCTGTCATCTGTCTGTCGTCTGTCAGTCTGCCTGTCTGTCTGTCTGTCTGTCTGTCTTCCTCACTGTGTCCACAGAGCCAGGACCGGCTGGCAGGACCGGCTCACCGGGGACAGGTGGCCGCCCACGTGTCCCTGCCAGGAGTCTGTGTGGCGTGTAATGTGTGCATCTTGTAGTGTGCCGCTGTCGGCATCGGGCGCTCGGGTGAAGTGGGCTGCGTGGACGGCCAAAAACTGAACGTGTTATTAGACACAAAACCAGATACGTAAAGTTCTCGTTAAGGATTGGTTGGTCGGACGGATCAGACGGCCACCTCTCAGCGTTCCACGCAAACGGGGCTGCGAAAGCTTTGCTGAAGTGATGATTCCAGAGATCTTTGGTTCCTTTTGTTATTGCTTTTATTTTTTTATTTTTTTTGAGACAGTCTCTCTCTGTTGCCCAGGCTAGAGTGAGTGCCGTGGCGTCAGCCTCGCTCACAGCAACCTCCAACTCCTGGGCTCAAGCGATCCTCCTGCCTCAGCCTCCCGAGTAGCTGGACTACAGACATGCGCCACCATGCCCGGCTAATTTTTTCTATATATATTAGTTGGCCAATTAATTTCTTTCTATTTATAGT